AGGCGTGTAGCCTGCACAGCAAGGTCGCAGCTGCCATACGCTGAGATGCGAAGGCGGTGGCTGAGCAGGTTTTGTAAGAACGACGAAAGTTCAAGTCCCTATGAAGGGTCTGAGGGGCAGGGAGGGACCCAGGGGACAGAGGCACCCACAAAGACTTCTGGAGGTAGGGGCAGGGGGCACCCCGCCGGCCTGCAGGGGAAGGGAGGGCAGCAGGGGCGGAGGCTGTGTTCACACGGAGTAGAGTGTGAGGGGGTGAGGCGTGCAGGGAGGCAGCAGAGGGAAAGGCGGCTGACCTCCCCAAAGGTGAATGTCCGCCTCCTGCCAGCTCAGCCCCAGCCTGTTCCCATTGTCACTCATCTGAACGCACAGCCCCAGATCCCCTCCTCGGAGTTGGGCCCTGCGGCAGGGAGGAGTGAGGACTGTCTCTCCCAGTCGAGTGGGGGGCAGCAGACTTGAGCTGGCAGAGCGGTGGTCAGGACTGACAAGGTAGGCTTTGGGGCCTGAGGACTGTGTGCCCCTGCAAGGCTCTGGGTGCGTGTATAAGCCCGGAATTCCGTGGTGTCAGAGGCCAGGGGCAGAAGAGGTCAGGTTTGCTAGCGAGTTGCCTCCTGACCCTGCTGGCTATGAGATCTGAAAGGCCCGGTGAAGGCCAGACCACAAAAGGCCTCAGCTGCCACCCTGAGAAGTCTGGGCTTGATTCTGTAGGCAGTGGGGACCCACTGCAGGCTCTGGGCCTGGCTTTATGGCTCTCGTGGCTCCTTCTCCCGGGCCGGGATCGCCCCTTCATGGTAGGATGTGGCGAACCCCACAGCCACCTCGCCGACCTGCTCGCCACACAGGGGTGGCACCACCGGACCAACCCTGACAATTTAATGTCCTGATTATCAGATGATGATTTCACAGGGCTGGGAGCTGCCCACCTCCACCCCGGAGGGCCTGTCAGCTCATCTCTGTGTGAGCTTGCTGCTTTCCCTACCTAAGGGCTCCTCTGGAGTCTGGCTGCTGAGCCAAAACATCCTGCTGCACACATATTTCACAACCCACTGACCGGTTCCTGCTGGACATTGTTTATCCTCCAGCCCCAGGCTCAAGAGATTAGGGCTATTTTGCATTCCACTTTCCTTCATCTGCTTCTTGTGAGCAGGAGGCCTGGGGAGGAAAGAGTTCAAAGGAGCTGAGGTTTATGGAACCCACAGAAAGGGGCAAGCCAAGAGGGAAACAGGTGAGGTGTGGGCAAGGGACAGGAATGTAACCACAGGCCCTCTGCACTGGGCAGCCTCCAGGAACCGCTGAGCAGGAGGGAACAGATTTCTCATGAAGCAGGAAGGATTTAGGTCAGACAGTGGGAGAATTTCCTGGCTGCTGAAGTATCGTCTGTAGAGGTTGTGAGAGGTCTTGGGCTCTTGCCCGAGGCTGGGGAATAGACCAAAGAGCTCCTGAAAAGTCTTTTAATCTCCAAGTGTTTTGGGAGCCATCAAACTGCTCATGGGCAGGTTAGGCTAGTGTGTCCATAGTCCAGATGGGGAAACTGAGCCTAAGGAAAGGGAAAGGACTGTACAATGGGGGATTGGATGGGACGGCAAACTTGCCTTCCGATGTCTTTCCAGAGAAGGTCCCAGCCAAGTCCTGCCAGGGAAGAGGGAGACAGGCCTCAGCTTCCCCCAGGCTGGCATGTCGGTCAGCTTGGGGTGGGGAGCATGGCCGACTGTCCAGAGCACCTTGTGAAGGGGCCCTGGATGCCCACTCAGAAGAAGCTCCAGGGACAGAGCAGGAATGCAGAAGATCCTTATCCTCGGCTCTGTGTCTTCCCTGCCCTGGAGGGTCTGACGGGGTCCCCTCCAAGGCTGCCTGCAGCATGGCCTTGGGACCTGATTCACCTATGCCCAGCCCCTCCCCAGCCGAGCAGCAGCCTGGCTTCAGCTACCCCAAGGGCCTTTTCTGCCCTCTGACTCAGTGTCCCTCTAACCCTGGCCCAGACCCTGGTGCAGCCTGAATCCCTATGTGCCCAACCCCCACAGTCAGCACATTGCTTCTGGGGAAGGGTGCCCAGGACTGGCCCAGAGCTCCAAAAGGCCTTGAGTAGGATAGAGAATGATCAGAGCTGGATAAATGGAGGCAGTGAGGCCTGGAGAGGACCCAGTGCTGCCTCGGGTCACGTAGAAAGTCTGTGACAGAATAGGGTAAGAGGCCAAGCTCCTGTCTGCCTCCTGGGAGCAGAAGGCAGGATGCTGTTGGTGACCAGGGACTCCTTGGGTAGCCTGGGCAGACTGTACAGCCACACTTTCCATGGTTGGCCCCATCTTGGGTGTCCAACCCAGAAGACTGGCCATATTGGTCACGGAGGGTGCACACTGTGGAGTCCTATTTAGCAATGACAAAAAATGAGCTAGGTAGATCTTAAAAGTTTATACATTGACTGAAAAATCAAGAAACAGGATGAGACTGTGAAACAGTATCATTTATGTACTTTAAGGATACATACCCACCCCCAACACGGTGCAGATTTTATACAGAGACACAGATGTTCAGGGACATATCTGAAGGTCAGGGGTGATGATGAAGGTTAAAAAGAAATGTTATTCTGGGGCACCTGAGTGGCTCAGTCAGTTAAGCATCCAACTTCAGCTCAGGTCATGATCTCACAGCTTATGAGTTTGAGCCCCACCTGGGGCCCTGTGCTGACAGCTCTGAGCCTGGAGCCTGCTTCGGATTGTGTCTCCCTCTCTACTCCTCCCCCACTTGTGCTCTGTCTCTCTCTCTCTCAAAAATAAATAAACACTAAAAAAATGTTATTCCAAAAGGGGGAGCCTTGTGTAGACCAGTGATAATGGTTTGTTTGCTCCGAAATGAGAATTCTGCTTAATTCAGTCTCTGCATTTAAAGAAATGGGGGTGTCTGGGAGAAGTTCCCACTGGAACCCACTCTATAGAATCTCCAGTGCTGGGTCCAAGGGTTGCATGATTCCATATATTCTGGATAAAAGGTTCCAGGCCCTCCTCAAAATTGTATCTCCACGACTGAGGGTTCTCCTGCCTTCCGAGTAAGCCTTACCCTCTCTCTAGAGACTTCCTTTTAAAATGCACACTTTTGGGGATGGGGGATAAGCACATGGTCCAGTTATAACTGTCTTTCACTCCACATTGGCCACCCTGCCTGGAGGGCCTGGTTGTACCCCATAAGCCAGAAACGGCAGACCAGTCCCCTATTCCTGCATCCGCGAGCCCCCGCTTAAGGCTTCCCTCACCCCCTTGTGACAACACATGGGCTGCCCCCCAAGTCCCGGCCCTTGGGGGCTGAGATCTCAAGCCTACAGGTCCCACTGCTGATGGAATGCCTCCTGGGAGAGCAGGAGGAGAAGGAGGCATTGTTCCTTCCTAGAGAAACATGCCAGCTGAGGGAAGGGCCTGGGGTTCCCAGGGGATCCCCTCCTCTGAAAGGCATAGGGGGACCAAGCCTGAGCTCCCAAGGCTACTTTATTTTCCAGCAGCTTCCCCCAGTGTGACAGAGGTAGAGTATGGCCAGGGGAAGTCAGTTAGGGGAGTCACAGGACCCCTGTGATGATCAGAGATCTAGAACAAAGAAGATAAAATAATAGGAGTGATTCCATTTAAGTTCTAGAAAAGGCATAACTGTCTAAGGTGATTGAAAAGCAGATCAATAGTTACTTGGGGTGGTTGGGGGAGGAAAGAACTTACTGGGAAAGGCAGGACAGAACTTTCAGGGATGATGGAAACAATAATTAGCTTGATGGTCGTGGTAGTCACGCTGTGTATGCCATTTGTCAAAACTTATCAAACTGTGTATCTTAAATCTGCATTTGACTGTGTATAGATTATACTTCAAAAAAGTTCATTTGTATAAAAACAGTGATAAGTAGAGCCCTAGGAGGGGGTGGGGAGCTCCTCCTAGGGCTGCTGCAACTCACTGTGCCACCATGGGCAAATTCATTGCCCTCTCTGAGCCTTGGTTCCCTCCAGCACCTCCATGTGCCCTGGTGCCTTGCAAGGAACAGGGTAAAATATGAAGTATTAAGCCACTAATCACTAAAGAAACTTGCCTGACAGAGGCCAATGGGACGGGGCAGTTAGTCAGCCCCAAAGCATGGTGGGTTGCCTGCTTAGGGCGTGAGTGGTACCCAGTGCAGGATCTGGAGGGAAGTAGACACAGGTAAATACGATGACATCTAATTATAGATCAGTACAGATCCAGCGGGGAGACAGGAGAAGTATGTGAGCCTGGAATGTCACTGCCAGTCAAGGGAGACTTCTTGGAGCAGAAGGCACCCGTGTGAATCTGAGATTCCTCAACAGTAAGAGGAAGATGGTCACCTGTGGCCAGGGCCAGGGCCAGGGCTCAGATTGTGACCAGCAGCTCTGAGCTGTCTGTCCTTAGTCTTCCTCCGGAATCCCCACATGTAGATGCTACAGGTGCCCCTCCCCCCATGGCTTTGAAGTTTACAAACAAAAAACAAAAAACACCTCCACCCACTCAGTTATAACCAACAAGGATTAATGATGTCAAAGCAATTCCCTAAAAATGGTTGTAAGTACAGAGTTTTTAGTCCATAATCTTGAGGTTCCGAGTTGTTGATAGGTGTCAGACCTCAGTGTGTGGCCAAAATTAGGGCTCAGTATAGGAGCAGGGTCGGGGCTCAGTCACAGGCCAGGAGTGTCACCAGCCCTCGCTGGCCCTGAGTACTTCTGGCCTCTTCCATAGCTGGCTTTTCTAACTTCCCTGGACTGCACAGCCACTCCATGGAGTGGCCTAGAGAGGAAGGGTCGGGCCAGAAAAGCTTTGAGGAGCCATCTGTGCATTGTTTATTGAAACCGGGCCTGGGGTGGGGGAGGCAGGCCGTCTGGCGCCAAATACTGGATCTCGTGAGGCTTCAGGCCCAGCTAACCCACCCCCACATAGTTGCTATGGGAAAGGCACTTTGATGATGGGGAGAGGGACCAGTCCCGTCTTCCTCACCTCCCCCGCCCCCCCCCCCCCCCCACCAGAGGCTTCCGGGGACCAGAGCGCGAGAACCAGCTTGCACCGAGGTGGGCCCTCGCTTTGAGGGCCCTAGGATCCCTTGGGAAATGACTGCAGGCAATTCCTGGAGCTTGAGTAATGGGACCTAGGCTGGCCAAGACGGCCCCCCTCAGCCAGGAGCCACCTCATCCTCACCCACCCTTGTGCTCCAAGCTTCCTCTCCATTCCGAGTAGGTGAGATCACGCTGGCTGCCTGGACCAGGCTCCCGCATGAGGCCCAGGCCCAGGGTGAGCGGGGCTGGGGTCTGGAGCCCAAGGGATGTGTGTGTGTGAGGGTCTGCCTCACCTTCGGGACCCGGAACCTGACAAGAGGGTTTTGGCAGCAAGAAGAGGGGCTGGAATCCGGTCTGTGTGACTCAAGTCCCCGTACCTTACTTGTCCCCCAAGAGCAGAGAGCTTGAAAGAAACTAAGCAACCTGTAGGCTCATGTCATTGCTTATCTGCCAGAATCCCCGAAGCCTGAGGGTGAGGGGACAAAGAGCCCCCGGCGCGCAAACCCTGAAGTCAGTGGCCAAGCTGGGATGGAGCTGAAGGCTCTGGAGTGCCCCCTGCCCACCTCCTACCCCACCCTGCCCCCACCACTCCTGCACGCCCGGCACCAGATCAGATCTTTCCTTCTTTATTCCAGTGCGGAGACGGTCTAGACACCTGAGTTTGGTTTCTGCTAATTCCTAATTATGCTCCCTGGGACCAAGTTGTGCACAGACGTGGGGGAGGTGCAGGGTGGACAGATCCCTGGCTCTAGCATGTCCCAGGGTACAAGTGATCACAGGAGCTGAGCAGACTCCCGACTTCCCTGGGTCCTGCAGGGGAGGAAGCCGGGCCCCTCAGGTTGCAGGCCAGAAGCTGCAGACAGGGGAGGGTGTGGTCAGGTCTGGGGGCCGATGGCAGGAAGAAAGGAATCCTGAAGAAGGTCGGGCTGGGCGCCCAGTCCGAGAATCCTGCCCTGTCAGCAGCCTGCTCTGGGGATGTGTTTTCCCACTAGCCCTTCCCTTCCTGTCCACCCCACTTGTGCCAACCAGCACTTACCTGGCCCTGCCCATGAGCTCTCTGGGACCCACGTGGGGCCAGAACCCAGGGTTCTCCTGGTGGTTCAAGAAGAAAGCTGTCTGCAGACGGAGGCTGGGGTCCGGAGGCCTGGGGAACAAGGACAGGGAGGCAGTGTCTGGAAATTGCTTGCTTCAACTTAGTCCTGCCTCCAGGCCCTTGTTCGTGCTGGTCGCCCTGCCAAGAATACCCTTTCCTTTTCTCTAGCTCACCAAACCTTATCCTGCCTCCCAGACCTCGCTCACGTCCCAGCTCTTCCAGGGGGCGCTCAGAGGCTCCCACAGCATGGAGCTCCCCCACCTCTCTGGCCCACACCTGAGCCCAGGGGAAACAGTTCCAGTCACACCCCTGGCTCAGGTTGGGAGGCTTCCTGGAGGAGGCGACAGCCTGTGTAGAGGAAGGAGAACAGCAAAGGGTGCTTGGGGCTGGGGAGGTCTCTGGGCTTTAGCCGTGGCCAGCCTGACACCCCTCGATGCCAACTCTTTCCCCCACCTCCATCTACCCCACTCCATCCCCAGGTCTCCCTGACTTGGTCCCGGACCCCAACTACGTGCAAGCATCCACTTATGTCCAGAGAGCCCACCTGTACTCTCTGCGCTGTGCTGCGGAGGAGAAGTGTCTGGCCAGGTAAGGAGGTGACGATGAAGCATGGAATGTCCGGACAGGCTCTGGGACTCACCCTGAGCCTGTGCTCATGCCAGCCAAGCTGCCTACAGTCTGAAAGACCCTGGCCAAGCCTCTGAGCCTCTCAGGACCCTGACCTCTTCATCTGTGAGCCTTGCCTGCCCGCAGGGAGTCAGGAAGAGAAGGGAACAAGTGAGCATTTCTGTATAGGTCACTATACAAGGAACTTTACTGGGGCATTTAATCTTCACTCCAGCCCTGAAAGTATGAAGTCGCCCCAGGCGACTGGGGAGCAAAGAGAGGAACTAAAACTTTTCCAATCTGAGCTGCCTCACGAGAAGGTGCTCCCACAAGGACCCAGGGAAGTCCAATGGGGGAACGAGCCTTCAGGATAGAGGGCAGGAGTACAGAGCCCTCTCCAAGGAGGACAGGTGTGGCTCTCCAGCAGGGGCAGTGGGCGCGGGTGACAAAGGGGCCCCAGTTATGCGTGGCAGTAGAGAGACCGGGAAAGGAGACCGGTTTGCAAGAACCGGAAGGTGAGCACAGCCAACTCTCCGTTACTCCTGGGCGTCTCTGCCTCCTGCAGCCCTTGCTTCTGAATTTATTAAAGGCGAATATTCTGTTCAAATACATATGCTTTGGGGACATCTCCCTGTGCTAAAAGAATCTGTTAGAGATTACATTGTCCTGACTCGTTTGTTGACATCTCTCTATGTTGAGAACATCTATTTTTCTTAATTACTTGCTGCCTTCCCCCCCACCCTTTGGAGTCTTTACGTACTTTCACTTTTCAGTATCTGGGAAGCCCTTTGGAATGTCCACATTTTCCCACTTACGGACTTGCTAGTGCACTGCCACTCAGTAGCTGACCACAAGGCCTTATCTGTCTGTCACGGGATGAGACGCTTACACCAGATTGTAACTTCACCCACCGCTTCCTAGGTCCAGAATGTCTTGCCCTTGATCGTGGGTGACCAAAAGCACGGAAAACGAGACTGCGGATAAGGAGGTCCACTGTACCACTCCGCTGGCCTGCCCAGTCAGGTCTGGTCTCCCCTCAGTTGTCCCTGGGAAGGGAGCATAATGATCGTGTTCCTGCTGTCACCAGTCCCTCCAGCAGTGAGCACCTGACAGCCTGCAAGGCAGTCCACTGAAGCTGAGTTTTGAGGAGTTTGAGTCAAAGCTAAATTATCATCCCATCTTCATGAAGCACCCTGTGGGCCCAGACCCGAGCTCCCAGATGGGCTGGGGAAGAGGCAGCCCGGCCCCCTGTCCTGGGCCACTGGAGAGCGGCCCCTCAGCCGCCCCGATGACAGGACCCAGTCACAGAGAGCGGGAGGAGAACTGAGGCCTGGGATGGTGGGGCTCTCCAGGATCACGGGCGGCGTGGGCTGCAGGCAGGGCCCAGACCAGGGAGGGGACGTGCTCCAAGTCTCACCGCGAGTTCGTGGCCACGCCGGGCCTAGAACCTAGACCCTGATGGGTTCCCACGGTGTGCCGGGCTGAACAGAAGGGCAGGATTTAACTGAACAGAGGGAAGGAGGATGTTTTGTTCCAACCCAGACACAGACAGATTCCAAGCCTCCCCCAGACAAGGCCAAGGGCCTTACGTCCTGGCAGACAGGAGCCTGCACCGCCTGTTGTGCAGACATCCTCTCAGAGAGAGCTGATCCCCACAACTGGCCACCTCCTGCCTCTGGCTTTAGGACCCAGACCTTAATGAGTGCCAGGGGAGTGCCCCTGAGGCCGGCCTGGACGATTATCAGCAGTGCTCTGACGAAGGGGGGGAGCTCCAGTCAGCCCTTCTGCACGTGTGTGTCTCTGTCTGCCTCCCTCCCCTCGCTGCTGTCCCTCACGCCTCTCCTCCCCCTCCCTTTCTCTTTTCACGAAGCCCATGTCAGCTGGGAATTGGGGGTCAGCAAGCAAATTGTGAGCAGGCAGTCTGCCTCAGACCTGTGCTCCCCAAACAGAAAAGGGCAGATCGTTGTTCCAGAAGCCACACCGTCAGGGAAAGGACCTAGTCACACCGACCTAGCTCAGAGGAGCATGTGGCATCAGGCTGTGTATAGGCAGTGCTGTTAGAGCTCACAGGCCATCAAGGGTCTTCTTGGTGGGGCAATCAAGGCAGACTTCCTGGAGGAGGGAGCCTGTGTCGCGCTTAGGAGGCTGGGTGAGTTCTGGGTCCGACGAACAGCACGGGCAAAAGTATAGATTAGCATGAGTGAAGTGCGTTTTTGAGAAACAGTGTCTGAAGCTGGAACCCAGGATGTGTGGGGGAGCAGCAGGGCAGACAGGAACGGGAAAGTGAAGGGACTCCGACATGGAAGAGCCCGAGCCTGTGTCTTAGTCCTGCACCTGAGACATGGTACTTTGGTCAACAACCGGGGCCCCATCCAGAGGAGGGACCACTTATCAGAATCTCCTGGATGGGCCATTCTTAAAAAGCCCTCCAGAGATATCGATAGGTCCCCCCGCCCCCAGAGGCTGTCCCCCACCGAGAGTCACCTGCAGATGAGATTGTCATCGCCAGACCAGACGCTGCTTTAGAAAGACTCCTCTGGCAGCTGCCGGCCACAGGGTGGAAGCCGCAAAGGAGGGTACAGCCAAGCCCGTGTGGTCAGGAGAGACGGGGAGAGACCTGAGTCCCAGCCTCAGTACAGGGAGTCAGTTGTGAGGACGGTCAGGGACAGGTCAGCTGGCTCTGGGCGTTGGTGACACGGCACCCAGCCCCACCCCGGTCCCCCACCCTGTCCCTGCAGCACGGCCTACACTCCCGAGGCCACTGACTACGACGTGCGGGTGCTGCTCCGCTTCCCCCAGCGAGTGAAGAACCAGGGCGCCGCGGACTTCCTCCCGCACCGGCCACGGCACGCCTGGGAGTGGCACAGCTGTCACCAGTGAGTGGGGCCCTCTTCTCCCCCATAGGTGCCCGGGGAGGGGCAGGGGCTGGTGGGAGGGCCCGGGTGGGGCCCCTCCTCTCCCCCCCCCCCCCCCCCCCCCACCGCGTATGTGCTCGGGGCGGGGCAGGCGCTCCCGGGAGACATTTGCTGCCATGGATCCACCACTGGGGCAAGAGTTCCTTAGCAAAAGCTACACTGCAGGAGGGGGACCTAGGAGGATCCGTCTTGGGGGACAGAAATGTCTAGAGTACGGGGAATTGCCCGAGGGAGGCTGTACAGGTGGGAGCCCAAGAAGGACGCGAGGAATCCTGAGGGGGTGCCCTCCCAGGGGACCTGGCCAGGTGGGGAGCCCCAGAGACGCTGCCCTGAGGGACACGGGGAACCAAGGAGCCCCAGGAGCCCAGACTGGTCAGGAGGCGGTGTCACAGGAAGCCCAGGGGTGACTAGGCCCCCTTCTTTCCCTCCTCTTGTCCTCTGCCCCCAGACATTACCACAGCATGGATGAGTTCAGCCACTACGACCTGCTGGATGCAGCCACAGGCAAGAAGGTAGCCGAGGGCCACAAGGCCAGCTTCTGCCTGGAGGACAGCACCTGTGACTTCGGCAACCTCAAGCGCTACGCATGCACCTCTCACACGCAGGTCCGGCCAGGCGAGGGCACCGCGGTGGGGACACGGGAGCATGGGGGTGAAGCCTGCCCAGGGGAGTGGGGCCAGAGGGGACCAGGGAGCAGAGAGCGATGTCCAGCTGGGCCAGGCTGAAGATGGGTCAGCGCCAAGGCTCCACTCAGCTCCGTCAGAGCAAGGGTCTTCTCACGGGTCATCAGGCCACCACAGGGCCCCCCGCCCCCTCCCCTGTGGGGGCCGCCCACCCCCTCCCCTGCCTGGGCCCCTCCCTGCATTGCCTCCCAGGTGTGCTGCCCAAGGAGAGAAAGGAACATTGCAGCGAAACGTAGATGGCGTGGTGTTCCATTGCCTGGTCGTCCACCCAAATCCACCTTTCTATCAGTCTGTCCAAACATCCACCGAGTGTCTCTCTGTCCTGCCCCTCTGTCTCTTCATCCAGTCCTCCATCCATCTCTCCAGCCATCCCCCTCCTTCAGTCCCTTCCGCCTGGCTATTATACCTCCCTGTTGTCTCTCTGGTCCATCCACCCACTGGTTTCAGAAGGGACACACCCTGGGGCACCTGGGTGGTTAGGTCGGTTGAGCGACTGACTCTTGATTTCAGCTCATGTCATGATCTCACGGTTCTTGGGTTTGAGCCCCGCGCCCGGCTCTGGGACTCTCTCTTTCCCTCTCTCCCTCTCTCTCAAAAATAAAGAAATAAACTTTAAAAAAATGTAAAAAAAGAAGGGACACACCCACTCTGAACAGCTACCCCGGGCCAGAGGAAGGTGGGGCCAGACTGCTGGAAAGGCACAGGGTGGCACCCCAGCCTTGATCCTGTCCCCTCTTCCCAGGGCCTGAGCCCCGGCTGCTATGACACTTACAACGCGGACATCGACTGCCAGTGGATTGACATAACTGATGTGCAGCCCGGGAACTATGTCCTCAAGGTGGGCCTCCTGGTCTGGGCCACTCCCCCTACTATTGCTTGTGCTCAGTGCCCCTGCCTCTGGGATATGCTTTAGCCACTGGGGCACCCCCTCCTCCCCCAGCTGCTGAGGTGGCATCCTGGACATCAACCTGGAGTGGGGGTCTCCTCTTCCCCATGGAGGCTCTTAGCCTCAGGCCGACAGAGCCTCTCTTTCCATAGAGACACCAAGGCACCTTCGGCCCAGGTGCGGTGATGCTACAGGAGGCAGTGACACTGTCTTCCCTAAGCGACAGAGGATTTGAAGTGCGGTGCACCCCCCTGTCTGCAGACAGGGCAGGCTTTGTGCCATCTGGAAGGGGACCCTGCCATTCTCTGAAGAGACCCTCCACTCCTCACAGTGACCCCTGCAAAGCCCAGGGCTCCTGTGACCAAGAGTCCCTTCTGGCCTGAACCCCTCCTGCAATGAATGCTACTCCAGAGCCACTTCCCTGGGGGTGGGGTTAGAGTGGGTAGAAAAGCATGTTAAGGACACACAGCCCCATGTGGTACATCCATGCAGGCTGTGCTGGGGCCTGGGCATCGCGGTCTCACCTGGGGAAGTCAAAGGTCAGCCTCCTCTGTGAAGGTGCAAAGCAAAGGTGGGGAACCATTCCACCAGGGCCCCTGGACCCGCAGCTCCACACCCCAGAGCAGCAAAGACAGAGCTGTGAGCAGTGACGATGGGCTTGGGAGGTGCTCTAACCTGCATGAACACAGCCTGCCGGGAAACCTGCATTCAGAACACAGCAACCCGGAAGCCACTGGTTACAGTCTGGTCCCAAGCACCTCCCAGCAGGCTCAGAGGCCCCTCTGCTCAACTCACCCAGGGGCCAGGGTTCTTCTCCTTCCCTTGGTTCATCCCACCAGACATGTACAAAGGACCCTCTGAGTTCCAGGCAGTAGGGACTGGAACCGCATAAGTAATGCACAATTCCTGCCCTTGGGGAGTGTAAAGGATTTAAAAGTAACACGTTCTTCCATGTTCTGCAAATATTAGTCTGGGTGTAGCCTACCCCAGTGAAGCGCCCCCTCCCCAGTTAATCCGACATTTAGAAGGCTTCCTGTGTCCCAGTGGTTCTTCAGACAAAAGGCACGGGTGGGCCATCATCTCACTGAGCGTCAGGTTCTGCAGCTCCAGGGCGGGAGATGCCACCTGGCAGCAGACAGCCCTTCCATCGGTCATGTAGACAGGCATGGGTGGTAACAGGGTGCCAGCCTCAGACTCAGGAGACCAGCCTTGGTATCCCTGCCCAGCCCCTGCCCCCCATTCACTGCTGTGTTCCCTGGGGCAGTGACTCAACCTCTCTGACCCTGAGTGCCCAGTGGAGGGCCCACCTGGCCCAGGCTCTGGCTCCGGGGAAGCTTCCCACATTCCTATAAGGGTGATCTGGCGATGTTTTCTTTGACCACGAGCTGTCTCTTCTTTCCTCTCTCTCTTTCCATGTCTCTCCACCAGTGTGGCTCTGTCTCCGTATCTCTTGGTCTTGAGGGGTCTTCCTCCATCATCCTATATCCTTCTGTCGTCTGTCTCCTCCACGTCTGTCTGTCTGCGTCTCCGGGGCCTTCCCTAATGACCAGGTGAAATGCAGCCCCCTGACCAGGTCCCTTTGCCCTCTGCTCCCCTTCTTCTTCAGGTTCACGTGAACCCGAAGTATATTGTTTTGGAGTCTGACTTCACCAACAATGTGGTGAGATGCAACATTCACTATACAGGTCGCTATGTTTCTACAACAAACTGCAAGATTGTCCAGTAAGTGCACGCCCACCACCCTCCCCCCCCCCCAGCCCCTTTTCTACCCTTGAGGTCGGGGGCGGGGGGCGGGGTGGCCAGGGAGTGGCAGGCAGGGCTGCATGAAATACACAAGATACCTGTGCTTTGAGTCACCTTCCTAGCCAAACCCAGCTGCGGCTGGGCCCAGCCCACAGGCTAAGCAGGAGGAGCCTCGTCCATGCCAGCCCCAGGCTGAGTGCTCGCGGTGGAAGCCGGGCCCCGGCGTGCTGATCTGGGGCCAGATTGTGTGGCTCCAGGTGGGAACCAGCAGGAGGCAGCATAATTGGGTGGAAGTCTGCAGTCCTGCCTCTGAGGCTTCCTCGCTCTGTGACCATTGGGCAGTTCGCCTCACCTCTCCGAACTACTTTTCGCAACTACAAAATAGGCCCTTCCCCTGTAGGCTTGTGAGACTGAAAGATTGAAAGGCCTGATGTCTGCGGGTTGGAGAATCCTTCATAACGGTGCTCAGTGAATCGTTAGTGGCCTTATCAAGTGGATTGAGTTCAACAGCCCCGAGTTAGAACTGATACTGGCTGGAATGAGCTTTCATCCACGCCTGGGCCCAGTCGTAGGGGAAGCTGATGCACTCTGGCCCAAGCCTTTGGCGGGGTCCTCAGTTGCCACTTTGCAGAGGGACCCTCTGCTTACAAACTCGCAAAGAAACCCCACCCCACCCATGTGAATTTAAAATGATCAGACCACAGCAACTCTTTTCCACTTAAAAACAAACAAACAAAAAGCCCAGGAGTTGCTTTAGGCCATCAGCTGGGTGACAAATGGCAGAGATTCCAAGGCCCAGAGAGTCAGCATATGCTTATCAATGATTCACAGGTGTGAAGTTTAGCCTGTGACCAGGCTCAAGGCTCAGTGTGTGACCAGGGGCAGGGCACAGTGTGTGACCAGGATTAGGGCTCAGTGTGTGACCAGGATTAGGGCTCAGTGTGTGACCAGGATTAGGGCTCAGTGTGTGACCAGGGTCAGGGCTCAGTGTGTGACCAGGATTAAGGCTCAGTGTGTGATCAGAGTCAGGGCCCATTTAGATACAGCCCTTTTACCCTTGGCTGCTACCATTAAGCTAACTGTTCACACACACCACCCCCACCCCCACCCCCAGTACACCACATATGCTAAAAATGAGAACAGCAGCCTCTAGTTGAATACAGAGATCAGATTCCTCATAAATTGAATTTGATCAGAATTGTCAAGGTCACAGAGTCTGTCTAAAACAACTGACTCCTGCCCCATCCCTGGCAACTTGGCTCTCTCATAGGCCTGGGTTTCTGACCTCCTTCCTCCTCAGGGCCTCTCTTATTCAGCCATTCCCAGTTCAGGGGCCATCTCAGTGGTAGAGAGCCTCTGGGAAGCAATTCTGGGGAAGGAGAAAGAGGAAGGAAGGAAGGAAGGAAGGAAGGAAGGAAGGAAGGAAGGAAGGAAGGAAGGAAGGAAGGAAGGAAGGGGCACATAAGAAAAAAGGGGGTCAAGGGATACTCAGGGAAGCAGGGAGCCTGCATCCCTCTCTTTTCCTGCCTGCTGCTGGGAAAGGTGGATTGAAAAGCATCCCATCTTCTGGTGATGCCATGAGCTAGGCCCCTCAGCAGGGCAGACAGAGAAGCAGCCCCATGCACCCCTCCAGCTCCCCTGGGGCCTGCGGGCCAGGGAAGGCTGAGGCCCTTCTTTCCAAGCCCTTTACATAAGTGCTTGGAAAGGCTCAGGTCTTATTAGAGCGTCTCTGCTACCCTGACCGCAGGCGGGCGGCCGGGCCAGCGCACAGGAAGCCGGACGCAGTGTTCCCAGAAAGGCCATGGGACTGACGCCTGTGGGTTTCGCTCATGTTTCTGAAAAGGAAGAAGGAGGCTTTTTTGAAAAGTACTGAGTTAGAAAAAAAAAAAAAAAAAAGTGTTTCCAGACAGTAGCAGCTCTACTAATGGCCTAGAAAACACTGTGGAACTCGGGGCATGGGGAGGGAGTGGTGCAGAGACGGCACCCTGGGTGGGTCGGTGAGTCCATGAAGCCCCTCTTCTTGAAGCTGGGGCCTCCCGTCCCAGGGATCTGGGCTGTGGAAGGGGAGCCCTCGGCTTGGGAGGCAGAGGTGGGCTTGCTGACAGTCGAGTGAGGGGTCCTGCCCTGCAGCCTACCACTGTTCTCTTTCTTTCCTTAGATCCTGATCTCGGAGAGGATGGACACACGGCCAATGTCCCCACTTCCCAAAGCCAGCCCGGCTCCCCAGGAAGCCTCCTGCCAGGACAGACCTGGCCCCGAGGGGCCCAGCCCCCACCCACAGGCAGGGGCAGCTGGAAGCCACAGGCATCCCTCCCTGCCGGCCTCAGGGAGCAAACGCAGACCGAAACCACAGGGATTCCGGATGCCAGGCCCAATTTTGTACTTAACTCTTCTCTACAACGTTATTTTGTCGATGGTTGGTTTTTATTTTTTGTATTTTGGCCTTACCACAGAGCAAGATTGCCCAGGCCCCGGGCTGAATAAAACAAGGTTTTTCTACTCTGTGGTTCTGCATGTGGCCTGCCGGCTGGACTGGCCAAAGCAAAGTTGGGCTCAGGGGACATCCTCAGGCTTCTTCCTTCCCCTAGCAGAATGTGGAAATGGCAGCCGCCACCTTCCAGGACCACAGCTTGACCAAGAGGGCATCCAGCCCAGTGTGGAAACCCCGTGGGTTTATCCCAAGGCCAAGCCCACAGTGTGGGAAGGGGCCCACATCCCTGAGAGAGGGGTCCTGGCAGGATGGGGTGGGCAGCTCTAGCCCACTCACCCCTCCTTGGGGTCTCCTTCCTCTGCCTCCCCTCCT